GGGCCAGATTGAATGTTTCTGTGACGTGCTGAGACGAATGGATGGATTTACTAAAGGAGGCTGCTCTTGAATTGATCTAAACATAAATCAAACTTTTGCAGTCAAAAAATACACATCTAAACTGATTTTTAAATCAGCACACAGGTGTTTTAAGCTACTTGACTTTTTCATATTTTGTTCACAGGTTTGCCACATGGGGAATTATGCCTGATCTAAACTAATGTGCTGACAACAATAATGTAATCAGTGTGAGGGAAAGGAAGGATGTGGATCAATGACGGGAGCTTTTACACGGGGGCACACCAATCAGAGGGGGGAAAAGTAAAGGCACTTGCAGCCCTGCTGATGGTGAATGTGAGCAGCATTTCTACTTATTCTTGACTTTTTTCATGTAACCAAAGCATACTGATAGTCACTAGTAAATTCTGAAGCTTGAAAGTGGAGCTAGGGGTATGTGTTGGTCTGAATAGTTAGTTGTGTGTGGGGTTTTTTTCTTTTAAACACCTTTTTATTTGGAGGTGTTTTATGGCTTGTAGCTCAGGATAGTTGCGTTGTTGCTTGCAGTTAATAGGTATTCAAAATAAATATGCACATGCATAAGATAAGCTTGAATCTAAACTTGAATGGAGCAGTTTTATGTATGGATTTGTGTATTGCAGAGAATGAAGTCATGTATGGTTTCATCTTAGAGAGACAGAATAGCTCGGAGCCTAAACAGCCTGCTTCGACACCCAAAAGGATACGAGATCACTCTGTGTCTGAAAAACGGCACAATGAAAAGAAGCGCTTGTGTCAAAAATGATATCAAGCAATGGCTAGATGTCGTTTCTGATTCCCCTTTCCCTAAAGAACGACACATTTTAATAGTGAGTTGTAAAAAAAAAAAAAAAATCCCCATAATCAGTCTGTGTTTAGCATAATTAATGCAGACAGCAAATGCACTTTTATTCTAAAGTTTGATGATTTTTTTTCCTGAAAAGATAGGATCAAGTTCTCAGCTTTTGTGGGTTCCGATGAATATTAAAAAGAATATCTCAAAACCTATACAAAAACAATGCTGTGCCAGTTTGTCTGGGTGAAATATGTGGGATTTGCTAATGTTAGATGTTCTAAAAAATTCCCAGCTGCTTTAAACCTCATAACTTGGACATAAAATAAAGAGAAATAAATCCATAAGAAGATCCTAAATTTAGATTTATAAATTCACTCTTTTTTTATTATTATTGTATATTAGACTGTATAAATGTTTGAAGCACCTTTATGCAATGCTCTGAACTTCCATAGCAATGCGTTTTTTTGCCCAATTTTTGCAATGCGGTTTGCATTTGATCACGGCTGCACTTTAAGAAATGAAATGTCATGAAAGGTGCACAAAAATAAATTTCGTTTTGTATTCACTCTGTGTATACAAAATGACAATAAAAGTTATCTAAGTCCAAGTCCAACCTGTAGGAAGTTTTTTTTTCGTTTGCTTCATTTTCAATTATCAGCCAAAATTATAACTTGAATATGTTATATAAAAAGGTTCAGACCAGTGCTTCCAGTCAACTTCAAAGTGAGATTTTTTTGCACAGTTGAAAGTGGAATCAAAATTTCATTCAAATTAACAAATTATTCAATCTAATCGTTTTCAATTGCAATCACTGAAAGACCAGTAAATCTGTAACCCATTTCTAAATGAGGCATTTAATTTTAAATGGAATAATACTAAATGCTTCATTTACTATTTTATAACAAAATTCTAAGGCAATTGATAGTGAGTACGATCAAACTGGATTGGATCAAACTGGAGTTTAAGCTCAAGTCATCCACCAAATTGATTTGTTTTTGATATTCTTCTGGGTTATACTGCTAATATAGAAACACAAATTATATCAGCTTAAGGATATTAATTACTACTTTAATTCTTAGCTATCTAAATCCAACTTTCCTCCCAAAAAAATGTATCATAAAGACGGTGAATTTAAAGCAAAGCATTTTATTGCAAGTATTAGTCAAAGATACACTTCAAACTGAAGCAAAGCAACACTAAAAAGGCCAACAAACTATATGAGGGTTACAAAAAAAAAGAAAAAGACATTTAAAACATAAAGGAATAGAGCTGTTGGTACAACAGAGCCTTTGCACAATACTGAGACATGGATCATCTGGGTTGTTTTTTTTTTTTGTCACTGCTCAACTGTTTGCTGGTGCCTTACTCAGAAGTATCAGAGCCCAGGATCTTTATGTTTGCTACAGTGATGACAAAAGGAAAATTACACTGAAATCACAATATGTAATCCTTGGCCACTGTTATTCATCTTTCATCCATCCATCCATTAAGTTGGTACAAGGTAAACGGCATCAGGACCTTAATCTCTTTTGCAATATTTGGTTTAAAATCAGCTGGAATGCAAAAAAAAAAAAAAAGAAAGAAAAAAACATTGGTGAAACATGGGCTAAGGGAGTAAACATTCTGGTAAACATTTATTAGACCAAAAATGTTTTTGGTTTAAAGGACAAATGGGTATATTTGCTTTGGAACAAAACTTGAATAGGTCCATATCTCTGATCCTCCTTCACGTTCAGAAACCAAAAAAAAGGCAGTTCATTAGAACATAATTCATCCTTGGTTTATAGTAGAGGCACAGATCTCTGTAGTCCAGTACGCTGGGGGAACCTCATGGTTCTTATAAGGCCAAGGTCGTATCTGAAAATACTTTTCTTTGGAATTGCCATCAGTAAGGAGGCAATTATTGGACATGTGAGAGAAAGAAGAATATAAATCAAAGGATTATAATATTCTGAAGCAGACAGAACTGCTAATCAGGTGAAACTGAATACTAAAAATGGTTTCCAAATGCCGTTTGACCCTGACTACATTAATGTTCTGACATTAGCATTATCTAAAATGTTTACAGTTTTGAAGTTTTCAAAAAAAAAATTAAAATAAAGGGTGTTAGGGAGTTGTGTGTGAAGTTAGCAGAGGTGAGGATGCAGATCAAGTATGCAGGCTAGTTTACTTGGTAGGCCACCCATTAAAAGGCTTTCTGACAATTCTGCAACAACGCATTAAGGCTGAGGCATTTCTGCTCCTATGTATGGAATGAGACCTGTTCCTGCAGTAAAAGGTTCTGGCACCAGAAATGAGACAACTTTAACAAAGCTAAGCCTACTTGGGAAAAAACAAAACTGACATAACCCCAAATGCATTGCCTTGAAGATATCCTTCCTTCCTTCCCCCCTACTCCTCTCTTACTGGCTTGGGGAATTTTCATGGCTAACGTACCAATTAGCAGCTTGGGATGAAAAAAAAACAAAAATGCATAAAAAAAAAAAAAAAAAGAGTCAGCTTTTTGACACGCTGGTCAGTGTGGTTCAGAAATGGTTCCCTTCGTCAGAGATGAGCTATATGTGGGGGAGGGGAAGATCACCCTATCAGTTGGTAAAAAAAACAAAAACAAGGAGTTGAAGAGGAGCTTAAGAAAAACTGGGTGAGCCCCCGATGCTCAGCTGGAAAAAGACAAAATGTTCCTGAAACTCGTACCCTCTGACATATTGTGCTTACGCGTCTAAGAAAATAAGGCATCAACATTAAGAGGGAGGGGCTTAAAGAAGAAAAAAAAAAGGGCATCTTCCTCTTAGCTCCATCCCCCTGAACCACCATACTGCAAAAATGACGCGGAGACTCCAGCCGCTTCAACACGCTCTAAATAAATACACCATAAAATGTTGCTCATATATATCTCATAATTTCATTCATATATCTATCTATATAGATATATAGGTAGATATATAGATATATAAATGTAGAAAGTATAACACATTTAAATAGGACAACAAAAGTCGGCTCAAGAACAATCTTTTCAAATCAGGTAAGTGTTAAGACAAAACAGAATATATTGTTTTTCTTTTGTTTTACAATTATAACTATTCAGACTCTAAAATAGTTGCTGTATAAGAATAATCGCAATCCGACATTACTCAAGCATTACATGTTGTAATAAAAGCCATTTGCAGTATTCTTTCATGTAGTATAACATATGCAGCATACCAAGGTAAATGAGGTGCAGTGTTTTGAGATTTCTTATTAGAAAGAGCTGACCCTCCCCCCTCCCTCCTGTTCCATTCCCCCAGAAATAAAATTAGAGAAGATCCTCGGTTTTCTGTTGACGCCGCAGCGATTTGAGACCGTGATAGCGGGCACACATTCCTCTCTAGAGACCAAACACACAGGCAGGGCGTTGCACTGAGATGAAGAAGAAAAAATGCCTCGAGCTGCTGCTGCTGCTACTAGGGCTGGGCATCAAGTGAAAAACCTCAATACTGACACAGAACCTGCTATCTTATTCCATATACACTCACAAGGACACTTTAAAAAAAGGTTTTCCTGCTTCTATAAGAACATTAAGATTTCATTCATGTTGCTTTTTTTAATTTGAGAGAAGCCGTTTGAGAAGAAGCTATATATCAGTGCAAAATTAGAAGAAAAACACCCTTGCTTTCACATTTTATGCCCCACAAACCAAGCTTTGATGCAGCTGTGGCATTAGCGACGCATCGAGTGGCGGTTTCTGAGAGGAAACGGACAGAAGAGAGAAGGCAGACTCGGCTGAGCCGAACACAGCCACATGAGTGAGAGGCACATTTTAAATAACCATCTGCACCGTTTAGATCTTCTCCTCGCTTTATTAGCTGGAGGAGAACTGGAGGAACGGGGAGCGAGACCTCTAGGCCATATGTCTGATTGAGAGTGGCAGTCTCTAAAGTGCTGTGCTAAGTTCATCCCTCATGATGAGGGAGCGCGACTCTTCCCCCAAAAAAACCACAAAAAAAACAACCCTTGATGGATCCCGCAAACCCATCCAGGTCCTCGTTTTGACCAGAGAACCGCCATCAAGACACTGAACCCTCCAAGAAGCCTGTCTCCATTACAGAGATTTACATTGCTTTCTATTCTCCTGTTCTACACAGACTCACCGTCTTATATCAAATGCTTGTTCTGATTTCCAGAGTGTTCATAATGTGGCCACAAGAGATTTTATTAGTTTAATTTGACATTTTCACATGAGAGCACCATCGAGAGGAAAGGCACTTTCTGTGGACTTCGTCTCACTACCTTCCAGACACAGAGCAAACAAAACCTGTTAAACTTATTGAAAACTAAAAGTGGTTACATTTAGCTAGCTCTAAGATAATCCGATGTGTTATATTTTTTTCTGAACAGAAAAAAATAAATAAATCAAGCCGTAAATTGTTTACATCAAACCTAATTTTTAAAAACGAAGTCTGAAACGCTCTTTATAACTAGCTTAGATCTGCAAAGAGCAGCTGATGGCATTAAATATGTAAGACAGGCAAACACATCCGCTGTGTAAACATGTGTTCCACTGCCCTCCACGTCCATTTCAGGCTGCAGAGGAACAATCCTCCGCCTCCTCCTTCAGACATACACTCACTGGTTCAACCTGCCATGTAAAGTTCTCACTGATCATTTCCAACATCCTTCCAAAAACACTCCTGCTTACAATCTTCAGAAAGCCCACTAAGATGTCAGTTTCAACCTTTCGTGGCCACGTGGGGGGACTGAATGAAATCGTACGGCCATTGATGAATGTCGTCAGGCAGGGGGAGGGAGAAAATTTTTTTAGGAGTAAAAATGGGATTACAGGCTTTGTCACACTGATTTACCAGGCAGGCCACGATCTGGATTTGTGTGCTCATGAAAAAGGGCTTGAGGCCAGTTTGTGGAACAAGGGGTTGCAGCGCGATGCAAATCCCTCCAGGATTTAACTCAAAGGAACCGAGAACTGCTAGCAAATGTTAAAAGTTATTCTTTGATCGTGTGGATTTGAAATAAAACCATCAAAACCACCTTTCCGTTTTGGCCGGCTCTATCCTGTCAAGGAGTAGCTGTCACCGCATTCGACTACTGACTCTTCTGTCCTAAAACAAAGGCGTTCAGAGCATGCCGCCATTTTTTATTTTCTTTTTTTTACGGTTCAGGCTCTGAGAATTTAAATTAAAAGAGCATTAAGCATCTAGCAAGCTTTTTTTTTTAACCAAACATCAAAGAAAGCGGTGGCAGAAGTCCACATCCCTACCGATAACAGTCAAAACACGTCACTAGGTCCAACAACCCCACCACTGTTCATACATGTACTATACGTCTATACACCGACACAGGAACGAGTCAACAGTCAGTTGCAGTAATTAAACTTTGTTATATCTTTTTAACCTTTCCTAATAATACATTAATTACTAAGATTAATAATTAGACTACATCTTATCTGTTAGCAAAAATAAGTGGTGTGCATTACATAACTTAAAATTTACAAATATATTTCATATTCTGGCTTTTTTTTAAAAAAAAGAAAACAAAAAGGTATTAGTGAAATAATGAAGGCTCAAACACACTAGTCTCCAGACTGCAAGGCTGAGACTGTGGAGGCAGGACCCTACATTATACCTCTGATCAAAGGGGCGTCTGTCGTTGTACCGTTCACAAGCTCTCCGAACCCAAAAATCGATCCTGAACTAACTCAAAAATAATTAGTAAATCTATTCTTCGCATCAACCGTATCAAAAAGCACCTTTTCCTCTTCTTCTGTTCTGAGGTTTCTATTTCTTTAAACCCTAACCTGCTTAACTAGAGTCTCGTGCACAGAGGCTCAGATTCAAAACTCTTAGAGTAGCACCATGCCTGTGTTCTGTTTAGAAACACACGCTTCTTTTAGTGCAGATTACATTTGAAAAAACGTCCTGAACAAGCTTCAGGTCTTCAGCAGAGAGGAGGAGAAACGTGGGGATCGTAGTTTTAGTTCAAATGTGCCTTTACCGCACACTGGGATTATTAACACGAAAGGTGTGAGGATGGGATCTACGTTTCCAACAACGTTGTGGCTTTGAATGTGTGAGAACACGCTGCTCCTGTTGTGAGCAAACTTTTGTTGGGTCTGCGATAGATTTGATTTGCACCAATAAGGCACATTTGATGCATGAAACGTCTCTGGTCACCGAACAGTTGTGCTTCGCCCCACATGACTCCTCTGCTCTGTTTCGAGGACACTTCCTATTCAGGGCCAGTTAAATGGGCAGGAATTACACCTAGCTGAAACTTTCTGGATTCAACCGCAGGAATATTTTCCTGAAAGTCTATAACTTTATAAATCCAGTCTGTTTTAAAAACACACTGCAGCAGCTGGATTCATGTCTTTTCAGTATCAAGTAAAAAGACAAACTCTAAAGCAAAGCCAACAGCTTCAATGGCCACACAGGCAGAAAGGGAATATATGTTCTTTTTAAATGAGATGCATTGAAAAGAATGAGAGGCATCAGGTGAACGTTTCAGCTTGTTGGAATATGCTTCATGATTACTAGAACTTATTGAAATGGGATTCTTACAGCTTCTACAAAACATTTCTGCCAGGCACTTAAATACTTCTTTATGGCCTATATGCTTCACCATCTGTCAAGAATATCTGAAACAAACTCTTGCAAAGTCATGATCAGGAGTTTTTACAATTTACTAATTAAACTTAAGGTAAAAAGGGATGCATAAATTCCTTCGGTTCAAGTAGAAAAACAAAAATAAAAACTGCGGATGAATCGGTTTTTACCCAACAGCAACAAGCAAAACCAAGAAAAAATATCAACAACAACAAACAAAGAAAGCGAGCGAGCGATAAAAGAAGTGCCTCAGAAGTGGGAGAACTTTTCATCGAAATATTAAAAACTACTTATGAGTCGTTTAAATCCCCTAAAATCCTCTTCCCTTCGTTCAACTGATTATTGCACTAAAGGAAATCATTGTCACAATCTTAAAATTATCCACCATCTCGAATAGGGAGGAAAATGCAAGTTAAAGCACGGAGGAAACTAAATGATTGCTAAGAATAAGAACAAAATATGATTAAGAAAGCATAAATCAATAGTTGTCTGCATAACACAGATGAAATGACTGGATTAAATACAGTGTTATACTTAAAAAATACTCCATATATGGCTGCATTTCAGCATTTTTTCTTTATCAGCCAATAAGAACTTCCCCTGTTCATACCCGACATCTGACCATTATATTAAACCTTATTGTGACTTTTAGAGGGCATTTATACCTCGTCGCCAGCAGATGGCAGTGTGCTCAAACAAACATTTGTCTTCATAAGAGTAAAACTAGGGAGACATAAAATTAGGAAGAGTGGCAATGTAAAGGACCTGTGGTCCAAAAAAAAAAAAAAACAAAAAAAAAAATTTAAAAATAAAAACTTCAAATGACCCAGAAGCCTGTAACTTGTTTTAAACCGTGGGGAGTATCATCAAACTACAGTAAAACTGAAAGTATGTAAAAGTGCTGCTGCTCAAACTGAGTTGAGGTACTAAGATGGCGCAGAATGAGACCAACAGAGAAGGTCTGTGCCAAACGAGGGGAAAAGTAAAGAGATTAAAAAAAATAATAATAATCATAAAACAACCACAAGGTCACAAACAAGGGAGAGAAACAGCAAAAGAAAAAATGGGAGGGGCAGTGAAGGGAGGTGGGGGGATAAACTAGTTGGCTGGTTTAATATTGCATAATGGTGCTGAGTTTCTGTCTTATTTGTCTTTAAAGCAGCGTTTGCATCCTCGGTCCAGTGTAGGGGCGCCTCCTCCCCTCCCTCCTCTCCTCTGCACAGTGTCAGGTCCGTATTGACTCGGCATGTGGGTGTGTGGCGGGTGGGTGGGTGGACATGCACCTATGAGGACTCCTCGACTGGCAAACCAGGCGTGCCGGGTTGTTTTTGTGTCTGTGTGATAAAGGTTATCATGTTTGAGGAGGGATGGATGTTTGTTTGCTCAGGCGAAGTACATGGTCCTCAGGGTGTCGTGATGAATCTGAACAGCTTTGGCCAGCGCCTGGGGGTCGCGACCATTACTCTGACCGGACACGTGGCTGCCTTCGGCGCTGAGGAGAGAAGAAGAAACCAGTTGGGGCTTAAAAGCAAACATGGCTCAAATGTACTACAGCCAAATCACATCAAATAGGAAGTTAATATCAGTCATTCATCTACTGTATAATAATACTGCATCTATATGAACTGAAATGTATCACTTCATGTACGACTAACTAATAACCCCACCCCAAAAAAATGGTGCAGTAGTTTTCTCTGATCACCTGTCATGCTCTTTGTCCACCAAATGGTAGCGGGCGCGGAAGGCCACCAGGTGGGCATAGTAGGCGGGCGCAGGGATGGAGACTGAGCGTGTACAGCGCACGTAGGTATGGCACAACTGGTAGGTGAGCAGCTGGAACTCATCAGCAGTAAAACAGTTGTCATCCCACAGTACATGGTAGTGGGAGGGCCGGCTGGTGCCCTGAGAGGAGACACAAACAGTAGAGCTGTTTAATTACTGGCTATTAAATTGTTTGTAATGAAGCAGTTATTATAAAAAACATGACTAAAAGAAAAAAAAAATATTTTAATTCCATCTGTAAAACAACAAAAAACTTATGCAATGTTAGTAGAACAAAACACAGATTTGTAGCACTGACAAGGCACAGTTAGTTCTGTTTTTTAAAAGAAGTATTTAAAGTTTTATAAGTTGAAAATAGCTTAATATTGTATTTGTTTTTAAATTATGAACATTGTAAGCAAAACTAAAGCATCTAGAATCTAAATAACTTGTTTATCTACATTGTATAATCTCTAAGACAGCAAAAAACATTTAAAACAACCGCGTATGAGAAGAGGTCTGAACTTGTTTATCTAAAACACATATGGAAAAAATGCCGGTCACTAACCTGTATTCCAGCGTGACTGCAGAGGTAAAAATCGAACTCGTAGGGATGCGTGATGTCCGTATCCACAGTAGTACCAGCAGGAATGTTTCCACTGCGTCCAACCTAACAAAGTAGTTTTATTTTAAGGGTTCTTTCATTTTTCTTTTTGAGTAAAACACAATGGAATAAAAGAAAACAACAATGTTTTGAAATATTTCAAATAATAAAAAGTTAAAAATAGAGACAATTCATGGAGCAGGAAATGCAGACATCAAAACAACCAATTATAATCCCAGAGCCTTTGAGAGCCTAATGTTCCATATGAGAGAAAATAAAGGTCATTACTGGTTTGGTCTCAGTTAGGAGGCTTTGAGTACCACTCTAGAGCTATTGGTGAGGGCCCTAATGCTTTAATCGATCCCAATTAGGTCAGGAAGGTTAACAATCCAACCATCGAAAAAAAAAGCCAATTTTCAGTACCTTAATAAACCAGGAGTGACCTTCAAATGGTTGAAAAGCATAAAGAAGCAGGAAGGTCGAGGCTTGTTGCCACATTAACCCAAACCAAACATATGGAGCTACTTTTCTATTTCTACCCTGCGGTAAAATAAACCTTTATGAAGAACAGGGAGGTCAGATAGCCTATGCTAGTAATTGCTGCTACATTGGCAAATAAATAAAAGGACTTCAAAATGATAGAGTACTACTTTTCATGGGCAGAGCTGTCCTTTTTTTCTTTTTAGCTGGAACTTACCCTCTCATTACGGTCGGCACAGAAGAGGCGAGTATGGTGGCGTTTTTGCACGACAATGTAGGTGATGCCTGGTTGGTACTCCTTCTCCAGGCTGATGCAGGCCTCTCGGATGGCCAGCAGCTCATAGTACAGCACCTGAAGGAGTAGAGAAACACATTTGTTCTTGTTCTTGTCCGTTTGACCGCTCTGAAGAAAAACTTTAAAATCAGCACAATAACTTTATGTTAGCAACTGAACTTCAAGGCTTTTTATAAATGGTTGGAATACAACACACAGGTTCACTGTTCACACCTTAAAACCTAAATCAGTTTAGGTTTTAACACAACCAACAGTAACAATAACACTTTTCTAAATGCACAAGGTTTGGTAAACCGGCTAAATCTATTGACCATCAGAGTATTAAGAAGTTTTTACTTTTCTTTTCACCACATCCATTTTTAAAAGGAGCTTAGCAGCCATGGATAAAACAGTAGAAAGACGTTGAATTTGATGCTTTTGATTTATTTAAATTCTAGCACAAACAAAACAGCAAATATTAAAAGCATTTTCCTCTGCAAAAATATTTCCAAATCAACAATCTGTGATTAGAAAATAAGATGAAAATGACTAACAAATATTTCAAATTCCAGATTAAAATGGTTCTACTTAATCAGGAGCCTTAAGAGACCAAAACAAAACAGAGAAATCCTTTTCCGGCTTTACCAGATTATTCCAGGAAAATCCGATCATTGTTACTCTGAGTGAGAAAACGGGAGCAATTTTTTCAGAGGGAGCCCACCTGTCTGAACTGGCCTTCTGAAACTCCGTCCCTGTAGAAAATGATCCTGGTTGGCTTGTAGCGCGTCGACTTGTAGAACTGGATGAGGAGCTCCCGCACCATGGAGGCCAGATCCTGGATGACCTCCTGCCTGGGTCTCTGGACACGCACAGTGGCACAGTACCTGCTGGGGTGGGCATCCATACTACCAACCACCTGAAGGAGTAATGATGATGAATCACATCGGGGGGGAAAGAGAGCGCAGGAGGAACAAACAAGCAAATGTGCAATTAAGACATGAAACTAACCGCTGCGATTGAAGGCTTCTTCCCATCTCCGGCAGGCGGATGTGTAACGTCTGCTCCCAGGAAGATAACTGGCTGCTGAAACACTGATGGTCTGGAAATAAATAAGAGTTACAGAGTAATTAACCAAAGCTAAGAGACAACCAGAAAAAAGGGACTTTAAAAAAAAAAAAGTGATGACCAACCGTTGGTGAGGCACCAGGATGTTGTTTATACCTCCCAGCTTCACATTGATCTTCAGGCAGAGGTTTGAGAGGGTCTGAGGAGACGTCTTCACGACATTCTTCACCTGGACGCACTGGGTCGCCATGCCCAGAAGGGTGTCTCCCACTCGCTTCACCTCAGCTTTGGAAGATTTAACAAAAATAGACCTGTTATAATTTCTCCCAAGAAGAAAGCATCACATACGATGTGCTCAACATCATCACGCTTTAATTCTTATAACAAACAAACTTAGATAATAAATAGGATCTTATCTAAAAGAAGAAGGCAATGCAGTGCATCTTCAACATCTAAGAAAAAGCACATAGGGCAATACTTCTTTTTGCAAAAGATATTGTTGTAGTCGATTCTTTTAGGCTTTTGCAGCTTTGCGTATCCATCGACTAAAACAACCCAAAGATCAGTTAGATTAGATGGAGTGTGTCTTAACACAATGATTCAAGTCTTGCTGTAGACAACGACTAATTCTGTTCATTAGACCAATCCAACCATTAAATTTATGCTTTGATCCAACCCACTAGTGTAGACCTGGTTCTCTACTTAGGGTTGCTATTCTACTGGAAATAATGTCTAACAACCAAAGAGTTTATGGTCACATTATCTATTACCAGCTGAAATTAAAATGCATGTTGAACTTTAATAATAAGATCATAAAGAGTTGATTTTAAAAAAATGTATTTTAGGAAATTTCTCACCATAGACGGGGGTCTTTCCAGGCAGAATGACAATGATGAGCTGTAGCCCAGCGTAGGTGTTCTTTAGGTGCCTGAACATAGGCTCTACGCTGTCGGCACCCTGGGCATACTTGCAGAAGCACGGCTGGCCTTGGATCGGCATCCCAGCGTCCTTTGAGATTTTCCGTAGCTGATCTGTGAAACCCCTGCAAGAAATTTTGAAGGATTGTAAAAATCACTGAGCAATGCGGCTCTCTTTAAGCTCGGAAATGTACTACATGAAAATCTCCATCATCAACAAGGATAAAAAAAAAAACAATGTGTTTATTTGGAAACAGGTGTAGTGATACAATACACTCTTCGTCATAGATTATAAACTAGAAAGAAAAAAAAAAAAAAACAGCCTTACTTGAGAATTTCTTCACGGCACTGTCTCTGTGTGGCGAAGCAAGCTATTGCCCACATCGTTATCTCCACCCCTGTGTGGAACTGCTTGCCCCTCATGTCCCACACGCCGTGGCTGGGCGTGGCTACAGTGCGATTCTGAAACAACATCACACACTCATAGCTTGGACTTAACATTATATGAGCAAACAATTGTGTTTATGAAACTCAGAAAAACGAAGTAAGACAACATCACAAAAAGCACAGAGCATGCACCCTGCAGCAGCACTTCTGATTCACAGACGTACGGCAGCTGGAATGGTTTCTCACTTAGAGTGATTTCACTCTTAATTCCATTAAGCTAAAACTCAGTTGATTAGAATTTTGTTACAGAAAGCATGGTTTTAAAACTACTTTTGACCAGTAAAGGCAAACTTTTTCAAAACCATTGAAAGTTTTATGTCTAAATAAAATCCAGGTGAATAAGTTGAAGTTTAGAGAAAACCCATTCTAATACCTGTGTACCTCTGTAAGAGAACATTAGTGAGCAACAGCATCATGGGAGGACAGAGAACAGATGTAAGGAGTAAAGCTGCAGTGAAATTTAGAGCCTAGTTGAAGTTACAGAAATCAAACAAGTTTTAAGAATAATAAGAAAATTGCTCAGACAGAAGTAGACGTTACAATCAACTTATGTGGTTATGTGGTTATATAGAATTTAAAATGGATTCACAAATTAAAGGAATCAATGTCTACATGTTTAATGTGGTGAAAAATTGAGGAGGCATCATGCTACAGTCTGTTAAAGATAAAAAAAATGATCCACTAACAATTAGCAAAGATCAACATATACAAAACTCTGGTGTAGCTAAAATGCTGCCATTTTCTAGAGTGGTGAATGGATAAGAATAATAATTAAGGGTTAAAACAATGAATTGGATTAATTGTCAACTATTTCAGTTATTGATTAATGGTTAACTGGAGTATAGAGACTCTTAAATATGTATTTAGCTTATAGAACGACCCACTTATAGCAGTAATATAAAAATTGTAAATGGGTAAACATTTTGCATTTGAGAAAAAAATTATTTTCCATCTGTCAATATGCTCTAACCAGAACTCCTCAAGTGGAAAAGCTTTTTTCCACTGGGATTAATTTTGCAAAATGTCTTCTTTAAGGAACCTTTTGCTATCCGATTATCAATCCAAAAAATAATGGAAAGATTTATCAATTTGAAAAATAATCGTTAATTGCAGCCCTATAGTAATTATACTTTTCTTTTTTTTAATCAGTAGCGCTTTATAGCATTTTTTTTATTTAACCTTCAAATGCTGTTGTAACCATGAAATAACACTAATCAGCTTCCTAATTTAAATATGATTGATTTAAATGGCACTCATGCTTCACTTTGCATGGATCATTTATGCTTGACTGTTGGTGTGTAGAAACCAAACATGATATAGAGCCTTTGCACACTTTAAAATAGAGCTGGTATTCATAAAGGTTCTGAGTGCAAACGTGGTCATCTAGAGGTGAAGCATTTTGGTGAAGACAAGGAAACTGATAAGGGGAATATGGAGCTAAATACATGGATACTGCAAAGTGATTTTTTTTTATGACGGTGAGGATATCCTATGCAGGGAATTGAATTTCAAATCAGTCAATGTCGGGACCCTACTAAGAAAATTTTTTCTCTTCTGTAACATTGGATTCATATCAACAGCAATCTGCATCAACGTACAAATATTAATCCTCTTAATATAAAATAATTTCTTTTTCAAGGCACATGTAGGATTAAATACAGGGAAAGATAACTTTTTTTTTTTTTTTACCGAGTATGTTATTTATTCCAAACAGTCACTGAGATAAGGACACAAATTTAAATTAAAGTAAAATTACTAGTTCAAAGGAATATACTTGAAATCCAGAACTGCTGGCCTTATATTCATTTTCTCTGTGCTGTTAAATTCAGTTCATGGTCAGCATTGACTTTTGGATAAGAGTTTAGGATTAAAAAAGTCATTCCTTTTTATCTTTTTTTTTCCACAGATGATTTGAAAATTTTATTTCTTCGTATTTGGGGTCTCAGCTTTTACAAAATACAAATAAAATAAATAAAGTGCTAGAGTCCATCATTCAAAGTCTAGACCTAAATTCCATATAGAATCTGAGACAAAAATAAAAACTGTATATGTGCAAAGCTGGTAGAGGGATTATTTGGACTTTTTAAATGAAAATGTACAAAAACTGAATCTGGATCGTTGAGTACAAATATATGCAAGATCTTTCAGATTTTTGTAAATACAATTTTTAAAACCATGCTAACTTTCCTTTCACTTCAGTCCCTTTGTGTTTGTATGGAACATAAAATTAAATTATAATACATGGAAGCTCAGTGCGGCGACATAACAATGTGCAATGCACTATAAAATAATGATAACAGCGACAAACAAAAGCGTTAGTACGTTTGTCAGTGGAGACATTTCACTATCAAATATCACAACTTGCAGCAATGAGCACCAAATGTTGCTATATAGCTAATGTGATGCAATATATGCAATATGTAAAGAGCAATTTATGGTCTGCACAACTATTATTAACTATTAAACAAAAGTGTGTTTATTTCAGTGAGATAAACCAATATTATAAAAAAAAAATGTAGTTCAGTCTCAACAGGTTGCCTTTCTTGTTTATTAAAACTTGATGAACAGACTTTTGGCCGGCACCATGAAAACCAAATCAAAGATGAATTGGACGTTCGAAATTTTTTTTCTGATGCCTAGTTTCCAGATTAAAATTTAAAAGAACTTTTTTTCTTTTTATGTTGGATTAAAGGCTAGACTATTTGAGACTCAACCATAAGGACACTAAGAAAAAACAGAAGCCAGTGATTAGACCCCCACAGAGACAAAAGGAGGGGGGACGGTGGGGCGTGTCAGACAAACAGAGAGAATGGGCGTGATTTAAAAGAAGGGTACCATAAAGTGCTCAGTGCTCACCCTGCCGCCGTACTGCAGCATGGGGGCGGGTAGCACTCGCCCCGTCACATGAGCCATCTCGTCGCGAACTCTGAACTGGAACTCCTGGACGAAAGGGTCTGCCTCATAGTTGGCACTTCGCACCTGAAGGGAAAAGGGAGCCGAGACATTAACGGCCAATCAGAGGTTGAACAACGTTTAAAATGCTTGGAAACTCAGGGAAGAAAGAAAGTAAGATTTCCTGGAGAGGATTAAATAAGACAGCTCTCCCTGATCTGTTAATGAGCACAGAGATAGATCATATAGATAGGCTCACTCCTTTTGTTTTTGTTGTTTTAGAAATACATTTTGTTTACCATGAAACCTGTTTGTTACGGCTCGCATTGTTTCAGCGGTTTAACTGCAATGTGAAATGAAACATATTCTTCGGTTTGAAATTTCCAGAAAATGTCAGGTGTCAGTATCCTAGTAAACCTCTGTATCATATCCCCAGCTCTGATAGAATTCATGATGCATTTCTGACAGACACACATTATCTCCAATCCCACCGATTCATACCCTAAATTCCAGTCAGCAGAGCATAAAAGCGAATAATCCCGTAGTCTAAACCCATCATTTTGCTTCTCAGAGAGCAGCTCAGGAGATGCGATGTAATAAGGTAACGGCTCGGTTAAAATGTGTATCACTAATCTAATAGAAGCCTTGGGCAGTTCATGCAGTTTTTCAGCCTCGCTTACGAACAACATGCTGTTGAGAACACTGCAGATTCACATTAAAGCCATTTACACTGAGGCATTTTTCTGACCTTGGGCAGATCTGCGCTATAATTGCTAAATGGGATGGAGAAGCACAGAGACGTGCCTCCAGTTGGAACACAAAATGAGAAGCAGGGAGAGGTGGGGTGATTATGAAACCAGTAATATAACATGACGATGCACAGAACAGTGTCAGGGAGCCGACGATGCAGATGTTCGGTTCTCTTATATCAGAACAGAATCCTGCAGAGGACCACATGGAAAGATCTTCCTTAAATAATTTGTGCATCGTAGGACACGCTTTTGTCTTCCATATGATTTAATTCAGCACCGATCAATCGCTTAACTAATCACCCAATTATTACCAGCAAATTGGATTTTGTTTTCCCTCACTAATAAAATGCAACACAAAAATATATATATTTTGTAAAAAAAAAAAAAAGAGAATAAACTCTAATTTTTGTGTTTTTCTTATGACGAGGATTGGAGATTATGGACATATGAAATTCCTTAATTTTCCCATGTAATCCAAAATAATACCTTTGCTTGCCGTTCAGTTTTCATTTGTAAAATAAAAACAATCCTGAAAATCTGATCAACTGATCTAGTTTTGTAAAAAGAATCACAATGTATATAAAGCCTTCCTTGCCAAGATCAATTAAATTATTATTATTATTAACTTATTATTAATCTCACACTGGAGAAATTTACCTCTGCATTTAACCCATCCCCTTGGGGAGCAGTGGGTTGCCACTGTGTGGCACCCTGGGAGCAGTTTGGGATTAAGGGCCTTGCTCAGAGAACCAGAGTGCAGGCAGTGGGGATCGTACCGGGTACCTGCAACCTTCTCAATTCATACAGGCACTTTTTCTCTATTTCTAAGCTGGAGGCTCTGAAGATGATGAGCACTTCTTTTTTTCATAAGAACATAAACAAGAAAAAGAGTAAACAAATATGCTGCCGGTTGCTTGTTTGAAGTTGTGATTGAATCCAACACCTCTATGCACCATCCCAGTCCCTACATTTGTAACTCAAAAAGTGTATCAGAGAACATTCAGGGTTTATTATTACTTTTATGGGTTAAAAATTTGAGTTTTTGTTTTGATTCATTCAATATAAAAAGGAGAATAAAAAGGAAATCAGCTTTTTATGAACTCTGGCCAAATGATGGGATCATCATCACCTTTCTACTCATGTTAAGATAGCATATTTTGCTGCAGAACGCTTCATTACATTTAAATCTAGTGAAACGATCATGTTGTGTTTCTAGAACTGTTAGGAATCTGTTCCCAAGGACTCACCAGCCTGCTGATCTCCTCCTGTCTGTCAGGTGCAGAGCGAGCCGTGGCTTTTATCATAGTCGAGGTCTGATTATCCGTCAGCTTCTTGATGCATCGCTGACCCGCCACTATGTTACACACCTGACAGAAAACAAATTTATCATTTTTATACATTTAGAAAGCAAAAGTATTTTTTTTGTTTTTCTTTAATCAATCTTGAGCTTTCTTAAGCCTTTTTGTATTACACAGTTAAGCAGAAGAGAAGCTTGTTTTGTCTCTCACCTCTAGGGGCAGGTAGGTGTGCTTCTGCTCCTGGCCCACCTGTAGACAGGGTAAATGAGGGTACTTGAGCTGCAGGTTGTACTTCTCCCTGAAGTACTGGGCTACTGTGCGTTCTACAGTCTGACCGTTCTCCAACTGCAGAGGAAACCTAAGAAATGACACGTTTGGAAGCGTTAAAATCAGAGATAAATCTGCATCATTTACCCACAGTGTTATCCCTACAGGAATCTTTTTATTGGTTTTAACTAAGCTGTAGTAAAACAGAAAATTTCTTATGACTTTTCTAAGCTAGATATTTAATGAAATTGACAGCAAAATTAATAGATTATAACAACAAATCTAGTTTTATGTTTTCAACCAATAGATAGACTATACCCTCCTAAACATTATTGATCATTCACCACAAAGCACTTTAGATGGCCAGAGTGGACCAGATAATGGTCTAAGGAGTTGTTCCCTATCTGTAGTATTTGGGGAACAGATGATGGCAGTCCAGATTGAGCCCAGATTCTCATGCACTCCGGCAGGCCTCCAAGCTGACTCACGTTTGATGGCTGGCAGGCCGACGGGTCACGTTGCAAACGCGGTACTTCCTCCTCATCGTTCCACAGTGCGTCACCTCCACCTTCAAACCTGAGGAAAATCACAAAAGGGTTGATTCGACACAAATATCCTTGTGTGAATGGCTGCATCATGTGCCAATGCTAATCTTGCTCAACCTCCCGTTTTTTTCTCTCCCCTCCGTTAAAAAACACTTCAGAGTTAAAACCCAATTCCTCACAATTCCTGTGCATCACCTTTGATTTCTTTGGTGAATTTGACCCTGTGAGAGTCTGTGAGAGGGCGAGGCTGCTCATCTATGTTGTGGATGTCCAACACTTCACACATGAACTGGATAACTGGCTGGGCTTTGTAGAAGGCTGTGGCAGAGACTGCAAGACAAAGCATGACCAATAATTATTATTTACTACATAAAAACAGTTACCTTGAAAGAAACATTGAGAAATGTTTAAGTTTTAACTTGTCCTCAGAGCTTCACAGAGAAATTATCAAATAATTGAAACCTGTCAACTTTTAATATAATCAGCTTTGATGTGCCATATTGAATATTATGGCAACACTAAGCCCTCTTCACTGACGACGCCATTAGTAAGATTCAAGGTTTGCCTTTTAACACCATCAGAGAGACGTTTTAAATCAAGGACAACAAAGCACCATAATATAAGAAGCAGTGATTTTTACAACATCCTAGATTTGGTTGAAATGTTGGCAGCGGTTTTTGGTTCAGTCCATCATTCTGCACGTATACATGCTTCAGGGGTCCTTTCTAAAAATCCTAATAGGTTTTACAGGTAATTTTAGCACGGGTTTTTTTTAGATCCTAACCCCTAACACGGTCCATATCAGAATTATAGCTCTATGTTCACATTATCTGTCATCATTTATTGCAGTAGATGTTTAGGGTTGAGATATTTTTACATTTTTTCATTAAAAATTGTCAGAGTTGTAGCATCACTAGTCTTTCAGCTGTGTAAGGATGCATTTCCCAGCTACAACACCAACTTTTTATTTTTTTTACAGTTTTGGATTAAAATTTAAGCCCAAAGGGCGAATTTTTCATCCATCCATCTTCTCTGGCTTATTCCATCAGGGTCCCGGAGGACGGAATAAGCAGGAGTCTATGGGTGAGAGGCGGGGTACACCATAAACGGGTTGCAAGTCTGTTACAGAAGACTTTTTCAATTAAGAAATATTTTGGCACAAAATAATTTTGGGATTGATCATTTTTAATGAGCAGGAAAAGTTTGAACAGTCAGTGAGCAAGAATTAAAGAATTCAGTTAATATAGATCATAGTTCAGTTCATTAGATGATATTGATTAAAATACAGCCAAACTAATCTTAAGTAAAAAAACAAACATGTTTTTATACACGTCCATAATTTTACTTTTATATAAAAGCCCCAGCTGCTAAATCACCAACAGCAGCAAAGCAACAATGACATCTAGTGAGGCTTTACAGAGCTATATATATATATATATATATATATATATATATATATATATATATATATATATATATATATATATATCAGGTTAAATAGTATCCTGACACATGTATAAGTAAGCTAGCGATGCTTAGAACACCTATTGCTTAAAAAGCATTGTTTAAAGCTTAATAGTTTTTCAAGTGAGACAATATTCTTCCCATTAACAAATCATAAATTGAAAACATGTCGGTCAAAACTCCCATAAATCGCTGAGGTCCAGACGACAAATATTGAAAATTAGGGAGAAAAACAAGGAAGAACTGACAGCCATCTCCATAAGATAATTTGATGTAAAAAAAAAAAAAAATAAAATAAGCAATAGTTGTACATAAAAATATTACTAAAAAGCAATAAAATATTGTGATTGATTCCCAAGAATGCAAACACACCATAATTATGCTCTGCAAAGATAGCGTAATTCATTAATCAATAACCTGCATCAGTAGTTGACTTATTGATCAACTAATCATTCACTGATTAGTGGTAATTTTTTTTTAAACCCGAGTTTTCCCTGGTATCTAAAAGATCGTTCCATAACACAAAGGGTTAAATTAAAAAGAAATGGTACATCATTATATCTGAACTAAATTTTTTTGCCATCTGTAGTAAATAATGACTGAATAAGCAAAAAAAATTGTTCTTACATATTAAAATTATTAAAACATTACTTTACAGTACATTTCCAATGTACAGAGATATAAAACTACCAGACAGGGTATGTTGCTCAAACACGCTGTCAGACTATTACTTTGTTTTAATGAGGTAAATGTTTTAATGAGGTAAATGGTAACTGTAATTTAGCTCTTTCTGGTGTAATCCAGCATTCAGTGCTGGGAGACACTTTTTGCTTTTAGCAGCCCTTTTAAAAATGGGGGTTCTGGTTGGAGGAATGTTCACCATGAAGTGCATTCAATCAATCACAAAAGCCTTACCCATCTAAGGCACTAGTGGCTAGCATGTCATCTTCTACTATGTTACAACTTTATGGCATAATGCCTTCTACTTTTCAATCACATCCTCGCCTTTTGAGCACAGCAGGGAAGTTAAAGCTACTCTGTCAGGCAGCACGGCTAAATGGGCGATATTAAGGCGATACTTAGGGGGTTTATCTACTTTTTTATATTTTCAATGAAATGTATTAATAACATTCTGTATGCGTGTTGATGTTTTGTTTAAACCCCAAAGTTGTATGTATTTAAGTTCTCACTGCACATGATTAGACAAGACCCAGAGCAAGTAGCTGTTTTGAAATTTTGGTAAAGCTCAAAGAAAATGAAAGAGACGGGATCCGGTAGTAAAGAGGCAACGACCTAAATGTGAAAAGGAGTTTTAAAAATTTACAGCAAAACCAAGGTTTTTGTTAATGCCCCACTTAGCTAGACTCCAAAAATCCATTACCACCCACAAGTCTTAGCAAGTGATGCAAACGGCGACACATTCACCCACACGCTTCCCTTGGTTTCCATCAACTGTTACAGTAATCAAGCAGAAAAACCACCATTCATTTCCTCCAGCTTCCTAACCACCCTAGCTGGGTCAGCGGAGGTGTAAAACCAGAGTTTGCTTAAATTAAATGTCAAACGTTCAGGGTTGAAGTTGGACTCTATTGTCCCATTTCCACTACCCCTCTGAAACTGATCCATGTCGAGTTAGGACCGAACTTGGATCCGTTAACCGTGCCAAGCTTGGATCTTACACCATTTACACATCATGCTAGCATCCTATCGGTGGTCCACGATACTACAGCTCTCAAGGCCGGAATTACACAAACAAAAATGGCAGTGGCATAACATTCAGGAACTTATGTTTTTTTTTTATATTGGTGATATTCTGTTGTTTGCAGAATGTCAGGCAAAGAAGGCATCCTTCTTGGTCTCAGCATCATCCCAGGTCCTACCACGCTCTTTTGCCATGCCATGCCATTTATTGTTATTAGGCAGAAGAAGTTCGTTTACTGAACAGGTGAAGAGATCTGTGAACTGAAAAGACTGCAACTAGGAGGTGACGTGATTTGCTCATGCACTCTTTATCGGAGAACCGAGCCACACTGTTGAACTAGTACTAGTTTTAACACGGTTCGGTTGTGTCTGACATGGTCCAGTTCAGTTGCGTTCCATTTACACTCAACAGTTATCTCTGTTACCGTGCTCGGACTGTTCTCGGCACGTTACCAAAGACTAGTGTAAACGGGGTATTTAAAACAAAACTTCAAGTTACTGGTTATTTGGTCTGCCTCGGCATTGATCTTAACTCAACAGAAAGATTATTGGGATTGGGGTCCTTTGAGCTAATGTGCTGCATCGTCAGGATATTGTATCCAACAGATGTCTAATCCTCGATAATAGAAAATTTTGTTTAGATGTCAGCAAGAAATTCAATAAACAGACCTGAAGTATTCCCACAAAGCCAGCAGGCAGCAATCCTTTAAGTATCTGATCTACAGAAAAGTCTTTTCAATAACCTCTAACTTTTCCTGCTGGAATCAACAACTCTGAAGTATTCTTCAGCCTTCATTTGAATATGACATTTAGATTCATTACACCAACATGCGTAACATTTGTTCAAGCAAGAAAAAAGAAAATCCAAAAATTTGTTCAAGGTAGGAAAAGAACATTCAATAATAGTCAGTGGCTCAGAGGATGTGAGTAATTCTAATATACCAGTGTTAATAATTTAAATCTCATTTCCCATGCTAGCAAAATGGAAACAGAAAATTAAATTTCTGAGATTCTGTGGCAAAAAAGAAAAACCTTTCATGTTCCTGTATTAGAATACGTCAAAGTATGAAGAGGCAATCCCAATAGATGATACATAGATTCATGGATTTTTTAAATCACCCTGCATTTTAGGAAGAAAAAAAATGGCAGAAACAGCCTCTCACCATCAATGTTTAGCATCATCTTCCACATGGCAGGGCGCACAGACTGGTGAAAGCCGAACCAAACTTCCCTCCCTCCTCCAAGAGGGTGGTCATAACCCTCTGGTGCTGAAAAGAAAGATCGGCCAACTGGAGTGTACCTGAATGATGGCAAGGAAGAATGATTAAAGAAGATGGCTAGGAAGATGCTTGGGGAAAATCTACACAGGAGGGGATGAGAAAAAAAATCATAAAAATGCAAATATAACCAGGAAGAAGGAGCAAAATGACATCCTGTCTGGATAATGTCCACCTGAATGTTTTGTGATAGTGTCACAGCCACCTTATCTTGAAAACAGTCTGAGACTACATCATTGAAATGAGAAGCTGAAGACACTGCCTTGGTGCATCCATCTCTCATTACATCACAAAAGACACATTTAATACTACATGCAGGCCACATTTTATTCTGTTGGTCCTGAAGGTCTGTCAAGATGCCAGAGTAATACCTTCAGCACCTTTGAGCAGAGCTAAATGAAATGTGCTGATAAAAACAACCTTTTAATAACCCCTGAAAGAGAGTTTCATTACTGCTTTGGCAATATTGTGCGCGACTCTGAGCCTCAGGAAAGAGATATTGACTAGAAGATAGTATGTTGTTTTGTGAGCCTTCATAAAAGATGTGTTTGATTTCCGTTTGGATCAGATGTCTGATACAAAAGCCACAACAGTAACTCAAATACATGATATTTACTAAAAATATCTACAGGGACAGCCTTACAATTTATTACATTTTACAAGCATAGAGTAGTTGGAAAAAAAAAAAAAAATCTAAATAGATGCTCTATTTCCTACAGCGAAGGCTACAATATGTCCTCAATAAATCCATTTAAAATAACTTGTAAGTTAATAATAATCCTTGGTTAGAGAGGCCAGAAGTGGACTTTATAGACTTTAAAGAAAAAAAAAAAAATAAAGATTTAAAATTGGCAAATAAAGAAACTCACTTCATGGAGGGCAGGTGTCGCAGGACTACATCCACTGCATGCACAGGGTTGGTGCTGATGGGCTTGTCCAGCTCAAGCGGTTCTGGCATGCTGCGGCCAGTCAGCACCTCGTGGAGCATGTGCCAACTGACCAGAGACACGAACTTGATGGAAACTTTAAAGGGACGATCTTTGCCACCCTCGCCTGGAAGAGTGACGTCAAGGTCCACCTGTGGGACGAACCAAGAGGAGTCAAGAAAGACTAAAAGGATTTGCTGTACAATTGGTCCTTCTAATGTAGGATGCAAGAGAGAAAAAGATGTGAATGAGGATTTTCAGCTCACCCCTGTGGGAGCCACAGGCAGTGGGTTGGCTGTGTACAAACTCTTCTTTCCATCGTAGACAGGCCTCCGGTCTCCAAAAATGGTCACCTTGAAGTGCTGCACCATGGAGTCGACCACCTCCCTACATAATAAAAATAAAATTAACACCAAAGAGAGGAACAGTCTTAAAATATGCAGAAATAGCACAACAAAAGCTGGCTTTTTAATTTTTAAGCACAATTTGTAAAGCATGCTGCAAATCAGGAAAACTTTTCAAAAAGCAACATAGGAAAACAATTTACTGAAAAAATACATTTTAAAAGTATTTTAATATATTTTACTGCACTGCATCTAATTTAGTCCATGGCACACATTGGATATGTATGCCATGTAAATAGGAAATTACAACCTTATTTTTGAACATAGACTTTTGCATTGTGTAGAAAACTGGAAGATCAGATCACTGCAGGTGGGATGGTATCAAAATAAAAACTTTCATAAAAAAAAATAAAATAAAATAAAAAAAAAACTGTCTACTTTCTTTTGTTCCTCTTAGTTCCTATGCTCTACAATGGAAAGCTGCAGTAACAGTGGATTCAGTCAAATGAATAGCCGTGTTTGAACTGGTAATTATTTTGGAACATGTCTGGTATTGGCAGTGATCCATTTATGTGAGAAAATAACTCTAAACTTATTCAATCAAAAATGTAAAGCTTTAAATAGAAAAGAGGAAATGGGCTTTAAGAAACATCTTCTGAAAACAGTTGGAACGAAGTTTACAGGACGTTGGGGCAGGAAAATAATTCAGTATCGATATACATCACCTTTTAATTTTACTTAATAACCGACATTACATCTGACCACATTAGCGAGATTTGTTGCAGTGTGGTGGTTAAAGTGTTTGACGTTCCAGGAGAAAGTTTGTCACCAAAAGGGAGCCGTGCTGTTGTATTATGGGATGCATGAATAGATTTATTTTGTTTTGACAGAACTGATCAAGGTTTGGTTCAAACTTTACTCTTGTTTTTAACGTTCATTGTGCACAGGTAAAAAAATAACAGGAGGATTTTAAATAAAAACAACTCGTCATTGTAAAACGATGCCTACAATGCAGAGGTGTACAAAGAATTAATGGTTATTACTCAAGTGCAAGCATAAATACGGTACTACTGTTTAAAACACTTTTGTAGAAGAAGAATCAAGTTAGGCTTTTTACTTAAGTAAAAACTACAAAAGTACAAATTTTAAAACTACTGAAAGTATAAATAATGCAGAACAGATGCTTTTAACTTTATACTAGTTACTGCATTACCGTATTACAGAAAAAATGTTCTACAATTCTTGATCATAACTTCCATATACTTAGTTTTCTTAGCAACTAATGGCTACCGCATCAAATTTAACTGTGGATCATCATGAAAAAACTGTGTTGGTATGTGAGGGACAACAAATTGGTGCAGTACTGAGTCCAACCACAAAGAAATTAATTGTGTGGATTAAATTAATTATTTTGATGATTTTTATTTTTTACATAAATACCAACAGGCCATAACTAGAATGAGCTTAAATTAAACAAAATTTGTCTATTCTTAAAATGTAAGGAGCAGAAAGTAAAAAATGCTGAGTAGAAGTAAAAAGTAGTTTTTAAAGATAATTACTCCAGTAAAGTATAGATAGCCAATATTTCTACTTAGGTAAGTAGATTGTAGCTCCAAACAGATAGTTAGATGTGTCTTTTCTTTTTACTATTTCTAAAATGCTTTATCAAAGGGGTTTCATGGACTTGGCATAAAAACGTTTAGAAGTTTGAACAGTATTCAGTTTGCTTCCTTGGCTGTTTTCTATGTCTTTTATATTGTTTATATCACCAGCAGAATTGTATCATATTGACCAAAGTGATCTATCCCATCATATATTTGGAGGTAACTGCCTAATATATATTTGCTTATTCCTTTTCTTGTTTTTTCCCCCCTCCTTAAAAACGACTGGTCAATTTTCGGCCTTTAGTTTTACAAACGTGGTTCAAACTTTCACTCATTTCAACAATCTCCTCAGAAGTTTTTTGCTCCACCAATAACCAGATGCCCCAGAAACAAGAGGAACGTTGCTCTCAGATACAAAACAGCTGCCTGATCAGAAGAGTACTTAAAATAAGAAAATACTCACAGCAGCAGTTAAGGTCAAAACACTTAAGGACCAACTAAAACATATGAATCATGGCACCACTCTGCCAACAACAAACTAGCTCTTTTCTGCTCGGTTGAGTCCAGGTGGGGACACTTCCTTTCTTTTTTGGCGTTTAGTCATTACAACAAAAACATTTCATAGATTTAAAATAAATGTATAAACCACTCCTAAAATATGTCATATTATGAATTTCATGTACCGGTAATATGCAGGATGTGGAGTGTGTCACCATGTTAAGTGACTCACTACTGATGGCTTTTGGGAAAAGGCTACTCATGCTTTCTGTGGTTACATGTTCGAAATGACAGGTGGACCCTTCTGCTGAAGGACAAACATTAAAGAAAAAATAATAATTTTGCTCTGGAAAAGTGTTGGATGTTTCTGATGTTCATCACTGGGGGAATAACCAAGCAAGGATGTGAGTCACGTTCGTGAGCAGCTCCTAGGCTGGAAGTGATCTCTGTCAATGGGACCGCAGCATAAACTCTAAAAGTCTCACATAAGCATATACCATATTTTCCAGACTTTAAAAGCCCCTACTTCCCCCCCCCCACCTTCTTAAAACATGCTGCCTAACCCGGGAATACACTACGATTCTTTTCCCTTTTCAGGGCGATTTTCCAGTAGTGCGAGAATTTTTCTATCGGGCCCACTTTCAGCTTGATCATGAATCTTCTAGTGTACAGGGGGTAACGAGGGGCGATCAGCCTCTCACGACCACCTCCCAATCAGGAATCATGAGGTCGGGAGAAAATCTAACATGTTTGACATTCAGTCGGCTGTCATAGGCAAATCATAGGTGCGAGTGAAATTTAGTTCTTTCTGTAATCTTGACAGACTGTTGCTCAGCCATGTCTTTGTCCAAATACTTTGTCACCTTTTTGTTTTTAGGGCTTTCAGTACACAGAATTGCACAAATTGCCAAGGCAACACGTTTCTCTCTAGTGAGCTACACGTTTCTCTCTAGTGAGCTTCATATTTCTCTTTTACTCGTTTGGCTTCCAGATAGACGAGTCCGAGTAGCTCCATCTCACTGCGGAGCTGAATCTGACATGGTTTTTAGACATACAATGTGGGCAGGTAGATCGCATCAGAGCGTCGGGCCGCACAGTCTGAGAACATACATCAAGAGCTGTGAACCTTTAAAACCTGCAGTTTCGTCATACAGTGTGAGCTGTAGCTGCGTCCAACGATTGAAAATATCACACAGTGTATGCCCGGCTTTATAAGTCCTTTCCTGTGGATTTTTTCTAACCGCCAGGGGTGGGGCGAGTCAAAGTTGTAAATCAAAGAATAAGGTATTCATTTTTATTTAGCACAAGAACATGCTAGCAGCAGGCGCGACGGAGAACAAATATCCCGAATTTACACATTTTGACATCTATTTGCCCCATTAAAGCTGACAAACGAATGAAGAGACTGGGCTCAACTGCAGTGCTGAAATAAAAAAATGACAAAGCCCCACCTTTTAAGTAGAGGCCAAGCAACAAGCTAACAGGAGCTAGCATTCTTCATGGTCTCTACTCAAGGGGGATATGTAGAGCTTTCCCTACAGGTTTGGTGGGAGACAGTTCACTAGATAACAGCGGCTTATAGCCCGGTGCAGCTTTCATATGTACGTTTCCAGTTGTTTCAAAAAAATGGTGATGGGCGTGGCTTATAGTGAGGTGCGCTTTATAGTCTGGAAAATATGGTAAGTAGTTTCTATCAGTCGTGGTAAATCTTACCTGTTCACTCGACGTGGACACTTGTCAGGCTTGATGTCTACCTCATAGAGGTAGACATCCATCTTTGGGATCTCCACCTGGAAGCAGTTTGCCAGCAGCTTGATTGGCTTCCCCATGGTGCCATAGCCAGGCCGCCGAGGCATGGAGAACAGGGCCTGGGGCCCAACGGCTCCTAGGGAGCAAAAAAAACATTAAAGAGAAATATTAACAGAAAAACAGATTTTCTATGGATCAGATTTTAGTTGTCTGGGTCAGAATTAACAAATAAACTGACTTAGTCATTACTTTGGGAAAAGTACATCTACTCATGGATGTTCCGACGACTCTAGATAAAATATTATGTAATCGCTCAGTGTAAAGTTTATAATAATTAGTTTTCAATATTGTTTTCATATAAATATATGAAATGTTTGGGCATGCATTTATATTAAGCACCTTTAGAAGCACAATTAAACCTCAGAGTCTTTTAGGTAATGTCTGCATCTGCAGCGGCAGAGTAGTTGTTTTTTTGTTTTTTTTTGTTTTTTTTGGTGCTTTAACAAGTTTCCAACTGTTGTTCTGTATTTAGTTAAGATGCTCCTTTTTTTTTTTTTTTTTTTTTTACCCAACCTGATAACAATAAACTGGCTGATTGAATCAGTCGATGTCCCAAACTGATCCAATACTTCTGCTGAATGACTCAAGCATATAATTCGCCATGTGAGTAAAGGCACCATGCTTAACATTGTTAAATAAAAGGTAAGAAATTGCCACAGATATATAATTCATCACTAGCTGCTGTGTTCTAAGCTCCATGTACCAGACGTGCCTTCTATGTTTGGAGTTCATAATCAAGGCCGTTTGCTTGATTACGTTTTCTAGCACACCTCTGAGGCTTCAACAGAACATTTTTATCAAAGATTCAATAACACACAGTGGACTATTTTCCAGTTTAGGGAGTTCTGAACGCTGTAGGTTAATGGATTACTCAGGTGTATCAAAGGAAAGCTGGTTGGAAAAAATATAATTTTTTTCAAGGATTTGTTTGCAAACAGATGAACATGTCCTTTTCTTTCCACTTTTCAATCGGGTCCTGTGTGTTGGTCTAAATCATAAACTCCACACAGAAATCATTGAGGCCTCTGGTTTAATTAACAGTCTAAAGGTTTCAAGGGGCTTTTCTAGGACAGAGGAGAAGCTCAGTTATTTCTTTTATATTAAAATCTACCGCTTTTAAGCAGATTTCAAATATTAATTCTAAAGCTTACTTAGAAGTTTAAGATCATTTGGAAAATATTTTGAACCACATCTAATTACTTTTATCTTTAAAAAGGCACCAACATCTGATCATTAAACAGAACTCCCCTGTCAGAACTGGTTAGAAGAAATTACACACCGATAAAGTAATGACTGTCTCCCTGTAATGGCAAAATAAAGCAAAGAAACCGAAAATGTCACGATAAGGTTATGTGTTTGGGGAAATGCCACAAATCCGACACATCACACACTGACATTTCTAACGAAAACGGCACCCATGAACACACTGCACCCTCCACAAAACCACATCTTTGCAGTTTTCTCACCCAATACAACTGATTTAGATGATCAATAACAAAACGGAGTAAACCATCTCGTATTTCTAAGCAAACCAACTCCGCAGGAAAACCCTGTCAAATTTCAGCTTTGGTTCGTTTTATGCGTGTTGTAGATCAAACAGGAATCGCATGACTCAGCATTCAGAGCCACATATCTGATGCAATAAAAACACTTGAAGAGGGGAAGACTTTTTCATAAACGTATAAGAATGAAATAAGGACCTAATGCAATTTTAAACTACCACTTCTATTCCAGTTCACTATGATGGAAAAAACTTCTATTCCTTATAAATTTAAGTATCTCATTACATTTCCTCAATGGTCCTTTTTTACTTTAAGAACAAATATCAAGGGCATAATGACTAAATATAAAACATGGCTGCTTCTGAAGATATTTTGGGAGCAATAGAAAAAAAACGAATGTCTTGGGTATGAGTCACTTTGATCCTTAAGCTGTTATTTTCCACTATAATGTGCCTCAATCGTGTTCAGACTATTTAGACTCTGCTGAGGCATGCAATCCACATCAAAGCTGACAAAAACTACCCTTTATTGCTGACATCACAGCGCACCGTTTGCGCACGTTTAACGTCATTTTCATATGAAAACTTAAGGAAGGCTCCCTCATTTGCCTGCCTGGTGCTGCTTTGTTTATACCCTGTCCCCTTAAACCTCTGCTGCTTTCGTTTTTAACTTTCTCTTAAGTCTCAGGGAGCCTTACTAAAAAAAGATGTCTGTAATGTGTCATTGAAAAATAAGAGTCATCCTGGGGCCTAATGTGTGATTCATCTCTGACCTGACTCACAGGCCCACATGTGTAGGCTGGAGTTCAAAGCTGTGCTCAATGGAGGGAAGTTCATAAAAATAAAAATAAAAATCTCCCCACAACAAAAAAAGAAACCTGATGTGAACTTGTTTGTTTACAGTCGGGTTGTACTCGTTTTTTCCTCCAGTGGGCTGTGCAATAAAGATCAACTGGGTTGATGAAAGAGGGAAAGGTTTCTTATTGAATAAATTACAGGGGGGGGAACCAAAAAAGAAGGCTGGAAATTCTATCAGAGCAATTCAGTTTTGGTTATTTGTGAAACTCGTGTCGAGAGCAACACAAAACAAGAGAAAAAAGGAAGAATGATCTCAACAGGTAACAGAAATAAGATGCTGCTGTTGATTCTCTGGCTCAGTTAAGGGGCGTTTTCCTGGCTTTTATCGGCGTCTTGCCGCTGGTCTCTGCTCGGAGTGAGTCACACAGCGCCCACAGAAAGAAAAAGTACCCAGCTTCCACTCATCAATAGATTTACCCAAAAAGCAATGTTTGCATCTTAAAGCTTTAGGAAAAAAAAACAATAATAATATTCCACCATGTAGAGCGCATGCTGGTTTGGTTTCAGTCTGAATCCCACACATACAGCAACTCATAGTGGTTTGTTAGAAGGCTAGACAGCAGGAAATTCAGTTTTTATTTTTACTGATGAAACTACCGTCAGAGAGGTAGTTGCTTTTTTATTTTGGCATTTAACACAAACACCACCGCATTGTTTATCTCAACATATTCAGCTTTGAACAAACAACAGATTTACTCATTTAATCTCCAAAAAATCCCCTTGGAAATGGAAACTTACCACCAGCTGACGTGTGCATGCTGATCTTAATAAACTTTTTACCAGTTTTGCAACAAATTTGTAGCAATGCACACGCTTGGTAGGCAGTTTTTTTTAATGAATTATTCATTAATAAAGGTTTGTGAAGCATGAACAATGAAATTAAACTTTTTCATATTTACAGACATTAAATATAACTGTATAAACTGCTTGAACTACCGTAGTTACTCAGATCCTACTTCTTTAATCATTCTCTACTGCTGCACATTTTTTACGACAGGAAGCCCATTTCCATTGCTCCATTTTGGATCCGATCATTACTAAATGGCTTTCAGGGTTTCTGCTCAGGTAGCAGACCTCTTCACTTCCCAAGATCAGGACTAAACAAGGAAAGACAGCATTTAGCTTAGAAACTGCATTTCTGGGACCATCCGAGTGAAAACCCGAGGTTTGCAGGAACTGTTAGTTGAATGAATTAGGAATGAAAACACTACTGCAACTGAGAAGACCAGATACTTTATTCAATCAATTGCTTTGATCATAATTAATTAACATTTTTACCACGTTTCTTATTTTTTATTGCCGAAATTTTGCCATTTTATCAAATCTTTAATTTTCTTTATGTGGTCAGATTTCATGCTTGTACGCTTTTAGGTTTGCAACTAATGATTAATTTACTAATCAATTCATTTGTAAAATCTGTCAACTTATTTTTAGATTAATCGATGAATAATCCGATAGTACAGGGTTCCTTAAAAAAGATTCCTAATGATTGTAAACTGATGGAGGGGGAAAAAAAAGGTTTTAATCTTAAAATGCAAAATATATGTGTTTAAGTCTCTATACTCCAGCTGCGGTTAAGGGATTATTAAATCAGTTGACGATTATTTCAATAAGTGATTAATCATGAGTGATCCACTTAATTATTTCAGCCCATTAGGTGTTAGTTGTCCACACAATCCTAATAGGTGTTTGATATTTACGTCTTTATCTCCTGTTAAGCATTTTTGAGTTAGCTCTGTGCCACACAAATAAAACTCAATTGCCTTAAACAACCTCCTTCATATAAATAATTTAATATGTTGTTTAAATGATCAAATATTAAAAATCTAAATTTTTAAAGGAGTTTTTAAAAAATGATATTGCCTATGGAAGTATGAATTCACAAAAAATTGGTTTGAAACGTACTGAGGAAGTGGGGCTGAAACAATTAATCGGATTAATCGATTACTGAAATAATCGTCAACTAATTCAGTAATCTATTAATCCACAAAGGTGCTAAACAGAAAAAGTTTTTACATTTTAGGTGTGAAAATGTGTTTTCAAGTTGAGGGGTTATTTCCTTTTTTTACCCTTCTCTCCCGTTTCTATTTTTTTTGGTTTGACGGTCAGTCTCTTCTAAAGAATGTAGTGTGGCTTTTTTTGTTTCGTTTTTTGTCCTACCATTTCCCCTTTTTTTTTATATATATTCTTAAATAGGAAACTATCAACTAGTTCCTCAGATACATTTTTCTGTTATAAGATTCTATAAACACCACATTACTAGATCTAACTATAACTGAATGTACAATATTGGTATTTTGGGTGAACCGAATTAAGTTATTTTTTTTTAATTGAACATTTTGAAAAAGATCCCTAAATTGTTCCTATAAATTACTGCTGTATTTATAGTCAAAAATCCCACAGAGGTTTTAATTCAAACCCTAAATCTCAACAGAGAAAAAGTAGCCTGTAGTTCAAACTGTTCAGAAATACCACAAGTTTGATAAAACTCCTTTTAGTCAAAACATCCATTACCCTGTAAACACCGAGGACAGTTTAACAATACACATGTGGTATGCAGCAGGTTGAGAGGTTGGAGATATAGCAAGCATGTAACACAGACGTTTATAAAAGCCTTTCTGGATTCAGCAAAACAAGGCTGATATCAGAGTATTACCCCCAGTCCTTCTTCAGAGAGACAAAACAACTGGGATCCTTCAAAATAAAAATAAAAAAAC